AGTTATATCAAGGGGAAGTATTTTTAGTTTTTAAGCTAAACATTTTAAGATTTTTCTCTATGCCTTAAGTGTAATGGAAAAGAAGTTCATATAATAGAATCAAACACTAAACCAATCATCTATGTCAGTCTTCAAACTATTTTGCTTATTTCTTAATGATTTAAGTAATGGTGGAGCAAACAGGCCCTAGATCTATGCTGCATTTGTTGTTCTTCCCTCATTTCTGTCCATGAACAGAGAGAAAACAGTTGTTTTTCCTCCATGCTGTGATGGTTAGGTGGCCTCTTTCTTAGATTCAGCTTGAAGTTACTTAACAGTCTATCACAAAGCCTCTTATTTGGTCTCTCTTTCATCTCATTACATCTTTTGTTTCTCTGTTGTCGCTTTTCCCCAAATAAGAATTAACCTTATTTTACTTTGATTTTAAACTACAAGTCATATGAGGTACTTTAATGAGAAAAAAAGGACTAAAAAAAAAAAGACTGTTTAAACCATGACAGTTGATCCTGTAACAAAAAGATATTTCAGAATCACTCTTCTGGGCTGGAGGTATGGTAGTGCTCTTGCCTTGCATGCTGGAGGCCCTGGATTTGATCCTCAGCATCTTACTCCCCTCAAAAAGTTCACTCTGCAGACTATTGAAGAAGTTAGAGCCAGATTTCTGTAAGATCCAGTGAAGTAATAAAAGGAAATCTTTTTATGTAATATGATTGGATATAAATATTTAAGTGTTTTATACTTTTTCTGAACTCAGAAAAAACTGGTTTATACGTCTGTATTATTTGGTATTACTCAACTTTGAATGAATATGATAGCCAGTTATTTTCACAGGAAATCAATACTTACAATACCTTGCATTTAACTTAACAGAGTAAATCTTATTATCCTCCTTTTGTAATAACATTTCCAAACCTAGTGGGTTAAAGGTCAGTGGATTTCTGAATGAAAAAGCCTAAAGGAATTGAGTCACTAACTACAAATTTCCTAGGAAAAACAAGAGTCCAGTGATATTCTCTGATATTAGCATATTCATACACAAAACCAGTGTCTTCAAATAGGTTGGTCTGTAGTCAGGATCTTCATATTGGGCTAAGAGGCTGAATTTGCATTTTATTAGTGTTTATTCCATGACACTATCTAATTGTTTTTATAACTCTTGTTCACTTTGGTAAAGTTTTTTTGACCATCTGCACTTCTCAAACTATCTATAGAAAAACCTAGTTTTCCCCCCAGTCTTGAGTCAATACTTAAGTTAAATACAATAGAAGTAAGTTAGTAAAAACAAAATCATGTTTTCAATGATTGCCACAGTATCAAATTGTCCCCTACATTTCCAACTGGTTAGTGTGAATTACTTGCAGGCTATTTTTCTTGTTTGTTTGTTTGGTTGGTTTTTACACAGCCCTGAGTCTGACACTGATGGATGTTGAGTATCATGTGGACCATTCCTAAAGCCTTCAATTTCACAGAAGGATCTTAAGTCACTGTTTAAGAATCACTGCATCAGACCACACTTATTTCTGTCACAAAGATATTCAGCAAAAGTCTGAGCCTCACTCATTTGCTTTTTTTCATTTGAAATCTTTATTCTTTTTTAATATAAGTATTTACAGATATAAATTTCTTTATAAGCACTGCTTTAGCTGCATACTCATTTGCTTTTTGATAGTTTCTACTTTATCCATGAATGCACTAAAACAGATGACCATTCTTAGCCAAGGAGCTTGCAGACTCCTTATATTGCATAGGAAGATCAACTTTGTTTCTTTCTGCAGTTTTCCCATTTACAAATGTGGTGATATTAGGTAATCTTGATCAAATATGAATGAAGACTTCTTTGGAAAGAATTCCTGTGGCCCTTCGTATTGTCTGGGTCCAGAGGTACCACATCATGGGGACTCCAGTTTGAATGTATAGGTAGATATTTCTGCTGTTCTTAAGTATATTTATTTGCGAAAATATATGTTACACTTCTCTGTTGGTATAAATTGCTGCCTCTGTAACCACCATAGACAAAGACTCTTATGATTCAGACTACTAACAAAGTTCTAAATCTTGTTTTCCTGGACCTTTTCCACCCAAAGTAAGTGGCTTAACATCACAGTCTCCATTTTGGCAGAGATGGCCACTCAGGAATAAAAGACATCTGAAAGAAGGCAGTTTTACACTGTGGCCGCCAGGAGGAAAAGAGAAACCATATGGGACTGCTGTGTACCGTGGGGAGGGGAAAGCAGAAAGATGTGGAAAATGAGGTGCCTAAGGTGGGTTTGATCAGTTCCTGTGGTTTAGAAGGTGCATTTTAATATCAGCCATGAGTCCATACTGACCTGCAGATTTAGGTGCAGGCTACCTGGAAAAAACCTGGGGAAGACATAACTGTATACTGCCCAGACTGGGAAGCAATCCATAGTGAAAAGCTCCAGAAAAGAAGGATCGAGAGAGTGGATTGATGGTAAGAGAAAACTGGGTGTTGAAGAAGACATTGCAGTGTTCTAGAGAAAGTCTTGCTCAGGAAAATTCTAATCCTCATTATTACAACCCCAGTGTGCTCAGCTGGGGACAGCATCACTGGAACACTAGGAAGACACTGGTAAGCGTAGAGTCACTGGGTTAAAGTCCTGGACTCTATGTCAGCACCTTGGCAGCATTCACAGCCACCTTACATTTCTTCACCTCTGATTTCTTATCTGTTAACATTCTCTGAGTCCTGGTAGCTATGATGGGGTTCAGATGAGATAGTCAATATAAAATCACAGTTTATTTTCTATGTACGTGTAATTCCAGTATTCCCTTTTTTTTCTCCCATTCCAAAACAAGGATGTGAGTGAAATCAGTATCTATTATGGCTGTTTTTACAATGGCTATTATAGGACCCCAGGATTGTCTGGAATCACTAGATAACCCACAGCATCACATGATTGTTCTGAGCAGACAGTTGAGTGAGAAGATTTAATTTGAAAGCCAATTTTATCTACATGATAAGGGAGGAACAGGTGTATGTGGCAGTTTTTGTAGGACTGGAAACATGCTTGCATGTACCCACACATGCAGTTTATATAAAAATGATAGAAGGCTAGGGGGAACATTATAAAGAAAAGCATACAACTACCAGAGTTTCTAAAAAAAAAAAAAAAGTAATTCAAATAAATGACAAATACCTGCTCACTCAGACTTGCTGATTCATGATTCATGAATCATGATTCATGAATTCATGATTCATGATTCACAGCATGATTGTATGAGGGAATTTCATATCCAAAGGCCGAGGACAGGTTTTTCCATTGGAAAAACAGCACAGGTTCTTCATGTCTCTTATCCTGTTTCCTTAGTATAATATCATATGCAATCATAATACAGTTGTTGAAACCAAGAAATTAAGATTGCTGTACTATTAACTTAAATAGGAACTTCAAGTTTTGCCAGTTTTCCCACCAATGTCCTTTTTCTGATCTAAGATCCCTAGAGTCACACAATTATGTCATTTTACTCCCATCTTACCTGTATTCTTTTATTCTTTTTTTAAAAATATTTTGTGACCTGCATACTTTGAAGAATATTATCCACTGTTTTTAGACTTCCCCTCAATTTTGGTTGGTCTGATGTTTTCTCAAATTCAGTTGAGGTAAATTTTTAACCAGAATACCATAAAAGTGGTAGTGTATCTTTCTCAGCATATCCTATCAAGAGGTACATGAGCCAGGCTCTCACTCTTATAATTCCAGGTACTCAGGAAGTAGAGATCAGGAGGATTACAGTTCCAGGCCACCCTGGGTAAAAAGTTAGCAAGACCCCATCTCAACAATAAGCCAGGCATGGTGGAGCACTCATGTGATCCCAGCTACATGGAAGGCCCTAGGTATGGAAGGCCTTTACTATGGCAGTCTAAGACCACTCCTGGGCAAACTTGCAAGACCCTACCTGAAAAATAAGGCAAAAAAGACCTGGGAGTGTGGCCCAAGTAGTAGAGCCTTTGCCTAGCAGACATGAGTCCCCGAGTTCAAACCCTCGTACTGCTAAATAAATAAAGAAAGAAAGAAGATTTTATGCTTTTCTTAAACTGATGGCCAGGGTTAGAGTTAAGTGTGAAAGACACTTAATTCCCCTGTCCCAGTGGGGTAAGAAAGGATGGCTTAGAAAATGATGGAGTCCTAAGTTATGTGTTTGAATAGATTTCTCTCGATCCATGCTGAAATGGATTGTTTGACATTACAGTGCTGGATTTTTAAGTTCTACCTCCAGGCAAATCTCATAGTTACTAGCAAAAATGAAAGCATGAAATGCTTTTTAATGTATATTTAACAACACATAGTCTGATGATTGCTGGTGTACAGTCTCTGTGGACTCCCTTTGCTATCAGAGGAAGATGCTAAAAGACAACTTTTTACACATTTATTCTATCTAAAGCCATCACATATTTACTTTTCAAATATCTATGACTGTCATTTATAACAAAATCATAAAAAGTCAAATACTTTAAGTCTAACTCAAACTTTGAATCATAGGATTACAACCAATTTTCAGGAAAAGTACAATTACCTTTCAAAAGTGACATTTTCCTTATTCTACCTTATGAAATTGCCTACTCTTACCTGATACCAAAATATATCCATTTAAAATAAAAGATGTAGCTTAGTACTAGGGTTATGAGGAGTAATCCTACTCTATTCATCTTTTTGATTCAGAAATTCGCATAGCTCCCATTTAAATGAATTTCCATCAATGAATCCGGTGTCGTGTCTGTTTGTGTTGAAGAAGCAAATTTTGCAAACTGTTCTTAATTCCTTTCTATGGTGTCACCGTTTAATAAGGATTAAGGTGCCATTTCTTGCGTGTATACTGGGTTACACAGCAAGAGTTCACGTCTTATACTAACATATGCTAAATAGTTTCATAGTATATAGACCATTGTTATTAAAATAGCAGAAATGAAGGCATTTTAGATCACAGAGCCCCAGTGGTCTATGTTTTGTTTGCTTTGACATTATTAAACTCAATCTGTTTCTCTGTGACTCTAATTACTAGATTTGCATGGCAGAAAAGTTTGCTTTGTGGGTTGACTTTTATTAACAGTGCTTGCATGTTGTTTTCTGTTCTTGGTGTTCCCTGACAGAGCACCTGTTGCCTTGAATAATTATGCACAATCAATAAGTTTTTCTGTTTGTCTTTGTTGTTTCTTTGATGTGGCCTACAGGATGCAGCTGGTAAGGTGCTGGACCGCTGGGCCATCATGTCTCGAGAAGAGGAAATCATCACCCTTCAGCAGTTTCTGAGGTTTGGAGAAACCAAATCCATTGTGGAGCTGATGGCAATTCAGGAGAAAGAAGGGCAGGCTGTAGCAGTACCATCTTCAAAGACAGACTCAGATATAAGGACTTTCATTGAGAGCAATAATCGCACTAGGAGTCCCAGCCTTCTTGCTCACTTAGAGAACAGCAACCCTTCCAGCATTCATCACTTCGAAAACATCCCAAACAGCCTTGCATTTCTGCTTCCATTCCAGTACATAAACCCTGTCTCAGCCCCACTGCTAGGGTTGCCTCCAAATGGGCTACTTTTGGAGCAACCAGGACTGAGGCTGAGGGAACCAAGCCTTTCCACTCAGAATGAATATAATGAGAGCAGTGAATCCGAAGTATCCCCCACACCTTATAAGAATGATCAAACACCCAACAGAAATGCCTTGACCAGCATTACTAATGTGGAGCCCAAAACCGAGCCAACCTGTGTCTCCCCCATTCAGAACTCTGCCCCAGTAGGTGATCTAACCAAAACTGAACACCCGAAAAGCTCATTCCGGATTCACCGGATGAGAAGGATGGGGTCGGCCTCTAGGAAAGGAAGAGTATTCTGTAATGCATGTGGAAAGACATTCTATGACAAAGGTACTCTCAAAATTCATTATAATGCTGTTCACCTGAAAATCAAACATCGATGTACCATCGAAGGGTGCAACATGGTCTTCAGCTCTCTCCGTAGCCGTAATCGCCACAGTGCAAACCCCAATCCTCGCTTGCACATGCCTATGTTAAGGAATAACCGAGACAAAGATTTAATTCGGGCCACATCAGGAGCTGCCACCCCTGTCATAGCAAGTACAAAATCAAATCTCACACTCACAAGTCCTGGCCGACCCCCAATGGGTTTTACCACTCCTCCACTAGACCCTGTCTTACAGAACCCTCTCCCTAGCCAGCTAGTATTTCCTGGGCTAAAGACTGTACAACCAGTTCCTCCATTTTATAGAAGTTTACTCGCGCCAGGGGAAATGGTGAGTCCTCCAACCTCGCTCCCAACCAGTCCCATCATTCCAACCAGTGGTACCATAGAACAGCACCCCCCACCACCCTCTGAGCCAATAGTGCCAGCAGTGATGATGGCCGCCCATGAGCCCAGTGCCGACCTGGCACCCAAGAAAAAGCCTAGGAAGTCAAGTATGCCTGTAAAGATAGAGAAGGAAATTATTGATACCGCTGATGAGTTTGACGATGAAGATGATGACCCCAATGATGGTGGAGCTGTGGTCAACGACATGAGCCATGACAATCATTGCCATTCCCAAGAGGAGATGAGCCCAGGCATGTCTGTGAAGGACTTTTCTAATAACAGGACCCGGTGCATTTCAAGGACTGAAATAAGGAGGGCTGATAGCATGACTTCTGAGGACCAGGAACCTGAGCGGGACTATGAAAATGAGTCTGAATCTTCAGAGCCCAAGCTCGGTGAGGAATCTATGGAAGGGGATGAGCACATGCATAGTGAGGTGAGCGAAAAAGTCCTGATGGCCAGTGAGAGGCCAGATGAGAACCACAGTGAGCCCTCTCACCAGGACGTTATCAAGGTGAAGGAGGAATTTACAGATCCCACTTATGACATGTTTTACATGAGCCAGTATGGACTGTATAATGGTGGTGGGGCCAGCATGGCTGCTCTCCATGAAAGTTTTACATCATCTTTGAATTATGGAAGTCCTCAAAAATTCTCCCCAGAAGGTGACCTGTGTTCTAGCCCAGATCCCAAAATCTGTTATGTGTGCAAGAAGAGTTTTAAAAGCTCCTACAGCGTGAAGCTTCATTACAGGAATGTTCACTTAAAAGAGATGCATGTCTGCACAGTGGCTGGCTGCAATGCTGCCTTCCCCTCTCGCCGAAGCAGAGACAGGTCAGTAAATCTCCATTGGCTGCTCCTGCTGAGGGTGGAGGGTGCCAGTTTCAGTCATGTTGGACCTGACATTAAAAGATCCAACTTAGATGTTTTGGGTGCACTGTAAAGATTGTCCATAGTGACCATGTGATAACTAAGCTGCCGTGCTATGAGGATTGTTGGAGTTGGTGCTTGTTATGATTAAGCATGCAGAATCATGTCATCTTATCCAGTAACGCACGCCATTTTTCTCTGTGCATTGTGTACGTGTGTGTGTGTGTGTGTTTCCATGCATCTAAGTGTGAATAAGTTAACTGTACACAGTTCTCTGCCTCCCCATGAACCTTTACTTAGAAGCCGCAGCCTCTGTTTTTTATATATATATATATATATATATATATATATATATATATATATATATCTGCTTTGCCTTGTGGCTTTTTAATTAAATCAGTATATTATCTTCATACACACATATTTATTCAATATAGAAACAGAAATTTACGGATGGAAAGAACCATAGGTCCAGGACATCGAGACAGCCTGCATCTCCGTAGGTATAACAAGAAATGTTATCATTCCTTACATGAGTATTTAGTGTGTCCTTGAATTCTTTAAAATTCATGAAAATATCAGAATAAAATGAAACCAAAGTAATTGTTCCTTTTGGGAAAAGGCATGGTGGTGTAGGTTTCTTTAACTTGATAGTGTCTTTGAGTACATCTCTAAAATGTAATCTCCTATGGGAAACAGGCACAGAAAGAGAGGCATTCATGTACTTTAGGATCAGTTAGAATACATTTTGTCCAGCCTTCAGATGACATCACACTCTAGCTAGGTAGCTGCAGCTCTGAAATAGTTAGATTTAAACAGAAGCAGCTGGTCCTAAACCTACCATGTTGTTTGTTAATTCTAAAGGAAATGTGATGTAAATGGCACACCGCATCAAGGTATTCAGTAGTAGATAGCAAGGTTATCCTTCACATACGGAGTTGAGCTTGTGGCACAGATCATTTACGTGACATACCAGCCCAACTCAGGTAACACACCAGCTAGTTCTTCCCATTATTTTGTTTATGGGCTTTGGTTCTAAATTGTCTTTCTTCCCCATTTTTATTAGCATATATTCATTGTACAGGGGGGATTCATTGTGCCAGTTCCCAATAGCTTTACAATGTACATTGGTCAGATTGGCCCCACCATCTCCCCAGTGCAACCCTATCCCCACCCCACTTGAAGCAATTGCAAGAGGTTTCATAATTCTATTTCATGTATGTATATGAAACCCTTCAACCATAGTCTCTCTCCACTTGCTAGGCAGATACTCTGCCACTTGAGCTATTCTGTCAGCCCTACAGTGTCTTCTAAAAATATTTCCAGAGGAAAATTTATTACATGGAAAAATTCAATATATGCAGAAGAAACAAAATTAATGAGGAAATTTCAAAATAGCTACCACCCAAATTCTCATGCTTGTTAGTTGGGTAGAGTTCTTTAACAAAGCAACATGTAGTGAAAGTACCTCTGGAAAGTAGTGACCTGTCTCTGGAAAATTCTGTTTGGTCTTCATATTTGAAAGATTAATCCTTTTTAAATTAAAATTTAACATTTTTTTTATTTCCACTGACAGAAAACAGGCCCAATCTCTAAGAAAAACAAGTGGCTTTCTTACACAACTCAAAACATGCTTTGTGGAGAAATCCATCTTCTTAAAGATTTTTTTCACTTCCATTTACCTTGTTTTGCAAAAGTGCCTGATAATCACCAAGTTATTTTAATTTCCAAGTTATCATTGATAGTCCCAATATATGTCAGATAAGATAGCTATACTTTGAATAATAAAATATACTACTATACTCAACCTCCCTTAAGTTTGTAGTATTAATTCTTTTAGATTTGAAATAGTGTACTAGTGATAATAACAAGGTTAATGCATTGAATTTTTTAACAAAAATAAGTCTTATGAAACTCTGCATAAAATATTTATGAAAATGGAGTGTTTGAAGATAAGCCAAATTAAGCTTATTTGCATGAATTCCTATCACAGTTTTAGTTGGTTTGCCAAAAATATTGCAGGTCATAACACTGACACAGCAAATGGGACCAAAATGCTGCATATCCCAAGCTTGTGCTTTCATTTATGTCTGATCACAAGAAAACACAAGTACTGCTGGTGCTTGTGACCTAATGTAAAAGGAGGTACTGTTTGAAGAAAAACATGTATTAATAGCAGGAAACATTGCAATCTCCATTTTTATCCTAAGAATTAGGATCTTAGCCAGTAACCAATGATACAAAAGCTTAGACCAGTAACAGGGATAAGTAGCATATTCCAAGTGTGAAGAATAATACAGATGTACTCTCAGCTGTGTTCAGTCTCACAGGAGATGGCAAACTTTGGTAGACAGTTGATAACATTGTATTTGGATAAAATAGCACATCATACCTAATCTTTAATTTTAGAGTTTTGTCACACATGATAAGTAAAGAAAAACAAATTGAAAAAATACCATAAAATGAAAAATTTTGACTCTCACATGAAATTTGAAAGCTCTGCAAAAAGACACAACTATTTTGGTCCTAGGTTTAAAACTTTAAAAACATTTGTTCTCAAAGAAAAGTAATCATCCTTGTTGATTAGTTGGATTAGTATAATGATGTAAGGCTAGCTACCACCAAATAACCAGGAACAGTGATGCTGCTGGGATACCAGCCTCTTTTTTGCATCTTAGCAGAGTGGACTTTGGAACATAATTATACTCATGTTTCATATTTTTATCATCATTTCATTAGCTAACATCAACCTGTGATTCAAGCTCTAGTTCACAAAGCTTCTTGGATCCCATCTTCCATCTGTCCCTTACATTAATTGTCTCTCTCTTCACTTCTACTGTGTTAGTCCTGAGAACCTCAGGAAGTCTGTGTCCCTGTTTTCTCTCTTTCCAATTCACTGCTGAAGCTAAGACAAATTTTCTTACCTTTCTCTTGAGCCAGGAATCCTTCTCAAAGAAACCCTCTTCTGTCTTTAATCCTACCATACTCAACCACACTTCTTTCCTTTCTCCAGAGTCCCAGTTCCACCCATCCTTGATTCCAAAGTGTCTTCCTCATGCAGATAAAGCAGTAGAGGGGATATGAAGTGTGCAGGGCTACTAGGATGCCTGTGGTAAAGTAACAGAATTTCATCCTTCTTCCATTTCACCAATACAGCCTTCTCATCTTTAGGATTAGAACTCCTTACAGGAGTTGAACACACACAGGTGTGCTTGGACTGCTTCCAAGATGGGTGAACATGAGAGAATTGGGTTTTTGGTCTTTAGATAGGCATGTTAGTAAGATGGAAGCAGGGAGATGTTAAATACTGTGATTTAGGTTTAGCAGTTGTTAGAAAAGATTCTTAGGTCTTTGCTTATGCTCCTTCTATATTATTTTAAGGTCAAGTTGAAGACCTTTTGAAAAGTAAGAATATTCTATGCTTAAAGGGACAGAAAGGGAGAAGAAAGAGACATACATGCAAGCTTTGTCTGGGCTGAGGATTCCAAGAAACATGTAAAAGGTGCCCTTTTTTACATAGTTGTTAATGAGTGTGTTTTTAATAAATTCAAAAGCCAAGAGGACCATTCCATGCTAACGACAAACAGCAAGTAATATATACAAAGTCTGGTTCACAACAGTCACTGAGTGGCTGTTATAATAATTTTTATTCTGAGTGAAAGAAGTGAAATTTAAATAATTTTCTCTGCAAAGAACTCTGATACTCTCAGGTGTTCAAGGAACTCTGATTGCTAAGATGTTCAAGTATATATGGGTAATACTATGAAGTGTTAGGTTTTGAAATCCCTTCCTTGTTCATCCTTTGATTTTTCTTCTGCTGAGATGCGGTTCTGTCAGGGAACAGGAGGCTGGCCCTTAGTTTTGAAGTACATATATGAAATGCTCCCTGTGAAGAAGAAATTCTAACTAACTGGCCTTACCTACAGTCTTCGTAAAGGAAATTTTCTTAAAGACAGCATCATTGTCAGAATTAGCAGACCCTAGTTTACATTTGTATTTTACTCAGGAAAAGCAAGTAACCAAATAAAAACATATCTGTCCTCTACCCTAACATTCCTTATCATTTGCTGGCTTGTCAGATTTTACTTACATCTGCTTTAATGATTGACAGTTTTAAAACTCCTTTAAATAAAATGAAGACTTTGTACTTAGAACTAGATGATCTGTATGGGAAGAAGTATTTCTCTTTGGTTTTCATCTTCCACGAGTTTCATCATCTTTATTCTTTCCTTCTCAGAGTACTGGCAACTAATTGCTAAAGTTTGTCTTAAATTTTATCAGAAAGATAAGCATATTTGCTTGATCTTCAAGGTATAGGAAAGGTGATTCAGCTACATGAATAAATTGTAAAACAAAATAATATTTGCCTGGGGTGATTTATAAATAAATATGAGACAACCATTGGTGCCAAGTGTGAACCTTCTCTTTGATTGCTAGTTAAACCAGTCCAGATTTAAACATGTAAACTTCTTGATTTGTATGGAGCAAGACATCTGTATTTGGTTTATTAAAACCTGCTGATGTCTCCAGAACTAAATTTGTTCCTATATAGGCCTCTGGGTAGTAGCTGTAGCTAAAAAGCAGAGATGTATAGTTTTTGCTTGTCTTATTACCTGAATTCCAGCCCAGTACAGGTGTGTGGGAATAAATTAACATAAGCCACCGAATACATTAACAACAGAGGTGAAGATGTGAAAACATGCTACGTACCTCCTGTTAGCACCTTCTCAGCATAGCAACATCCATTTTTTCCATCATTCTTTATGTTTGGAAACTTACAGAGAACTTTTTTCTAGAGAGGGCCTTTTCAATAAATATACACCACTTCACCAGGAGCACTTCTTAGAAATAAGCCACTTAGCACAATTCAAGGGACTATTAGTGTATTTGCCCCAATATAATTAGCTGTCAAATACAGTGTGTTAATCCTCTCTAAGAACAAGAGGAGACTATTTTAAGGGATT